GGATGTGTGCTGCAGTCTCTATTTCTTTCTCAATAATAGATTTCCCCTCCTCTGCTGCTAAACCTGCTCAATTTAAACCTGATGAAATTGGAAAACTGAAAAATCACAACATAAGATATATATGCATACCCTTTCTACTGTCAGGGTCCTCTCCTGAGTATTGAAGAGCAATGATGTCTGTCTATAGACTAAGGTGCACCTGATCCAAGCCATGGTCTTCACAGTTACTTGCTATGCATCAGACAGCTGAACAGTGACTAAGGATGACAGAAGGATGATATCTTTGAATTGTGGTCCTGGAGAAGAGTTTTGGACATATTATGGACTGCTAAGAGGACAAATGGGTTTGTCCTGGAGACAGTGAAACCAAGCTGCTCCTTTGAGGCAAGGATTTTGAAGGTCCATTTAACTTATTTTGGGCATGTTTCCAGGAGGGACCAGTTCTTGGAGAAGGACATCATGCTTGGAAGGGTGGAAGGACAGCGCAAGAGGCGAAGACCCTGAGTGAAATAGATTGACTTAGTGACTAGGGTAATGGGGATAGGCATGATGGAAACAATTAAATTGACTCAAGATAGAGCAGGGTTCAGAGCTGTTGTACATATGGTCACTATGAGTTTTAAGCAAATCGATGGCATTTAAAAACAACATGCTATATTCCTACCCAGCCATGTGGTGCAAGTAAAAGTTGATAGCTTGAAAAGCCATTTACCATAATATCTTTGAAAATTAGTAGAGAAAAATTGTGTATAACGTTCAACTGGAATTTCTATACTAAAGACAGCTAACAGGCTGGAGATTGAATGATAGAATTTTAATAAGATCAATTATATTCTTTGCATTACCTTCTTAAAGAACATCAACAATGATTATACAGATGGACTTAAATGGATACAAGAATCAGATTGACTGCATTTGAGGGAAGAGTTGATGTTTTTGTGGTTAGGTGCTATTGAGTCTAGTACAACTCAGAGTGACCGTAAAAGCAACAAATCTGAACCTTTTTCTTTTCTGTTCCATTCTCTGACACATGCAAGCCTATTGCTACAGTCACTGTGTCAATCCATGTGGTTAAGAATCTTGCTCTCCTTCACCATCCCTCAACATTTCCAAGCATGATATCCTTCTCCAAGGAATAGCCTCTCTTAGCAATATGCCCAAAGTATGTAAGATGAAGCTTTATCATGTTTGCCTCCAAGGAGTACTCTGACTGCACCCTTTCCTAGACATATTTATTTGTTATTTTGATAACAAATGTGTTATTCAGTACTCTTCTCCAACACCACTGATCAAAGGCATCTGTTCTTCTTCTGTCATCTTTATTCATTGTGTGACTCTCAAATATATACCAAGTGACTGAAAAGACCATGGCCTGAATGAGGTGCACCTTAGCCTTCAAACTGACATCACAACACTGTAATTCAATAATTTGGAGAAGTCCCTGAATACAGACTCCAAGTGCAATTCATCTCCTGACCTTCTGACTGCCAGTACTAAGAGTGTTGCTTGTACATCAAAGTAAGATGAAGTTTTTGACAGTTTCAGTCTTTTCTCCATCCATAATAATGTTGCTTTGATCTTGGCTGAAAGCAGATAGCAACAGAGGAATGTCTATCTGTGTTTTCATTGACTGTGTACAAGCATTTGATTGGGTGGATTACAATAAACTGTGGCTAACTCTGAGAAGAATGGGAATCTCAGCACACTTGGTTGTGCTTATGTGAAACCTATACTTGGACCATGAGGCAGTCATCAGAACAGAGCAAGGAAACACAGCATGGTTTAAAATCAGGAAGAGTGTACAACATGGATGTGTCCTGTCTTCATACCTTTTTAACCTATATGCAGAACATATCATCTGAGAGGCTGGGCTCTATAAGGAGGAATGTGGCATCAGGATTAGAGGAAGACTCATCAATAAACTGTGTTACACAGATGACGCAACCTTGTTTGCGGAAACTGAGGAGGACCTGAAACACTTACTGCATGCAGAGGGTCAAGGACTGCAGCTTTCAAAAATGATTGAACCTGAACATCAAGAAAACAAAGATTCTAACCACTGGACTGTTTAGCAGCATCATGATGGACAGTGAAGAGACTGAGATTGTTTACAGCTTTAGTTTGCTTGGCTCCACAATCAAAACTCTTGGTACCAGCAGCCAGGAAATTAAAAGAGAATTGCATTGGAAAAGTCTGCTGTCAGGAACATCTCCATACTACTGAAAAGCAACGATGTCAGTCTGGAGATTAAGGTGTGCCTGCTCCAGACCATGGTCTTTGCAATTACTTGCTATGCATCAGAAAGCTGGACAATGACTAGGGATGATAGAAGGAGAATTTATGCCTTTGATCTGTGTTGCTGGAGAAGAATATTGAATATACCATGGAATGTTAAGAGAACAAACAGGTTTATCCTGGAGAGGGTGGGTCCAGGCTTCTCTTTGGAGGCAAGGATTCTGAAGCACTTTCTGACATATTTTGGGCATATTGCAAGGAGGGACAAGTCCTTGGAGAGACACTATGCTTGGGAGGGTGGAGGGACACTGCAGGAAGGGAAGACCCTCAATGAGATAGATTGACTCAATGACTGGAGTAATGAGGGTAGGTGTGTTGCAGATGGTAAGGTTGGCTCAGGGTAGAGCAGCATTCAGAGCTGTTGTACATAAGGTTGCTATGAGTCGTAGATTACTCAACAGCAGATCAGAACAACAATAATCATGATGTTGCTTAAGTGGTATTTTTGTTTTCCTGACACTGAGATGCAATTCATATTGAAGGCTGCAGTCTTTGATCTTCTGGGGTAAGTTTTTGAAGTCTCCCTAACTTTTAACAAGCAAGGTTGTGTCAGCTGAATAATACAGGTTGTTAATGAGCCTTCCTCCAATCCTGATGCTGTATTCTGCTTTTTAGAATGAGGCTTCTCAGATAATCTTCTTCTCATACAGATTAAATAGATTTGGAAAAAGAATAAACCCCAGTGCACACCTTTTCTAAATTTAAACCATATATTGTTCCCCTGTTCTCTTCACACAGCAGTCTCTTGATCTAGGTATAGGTTCCCACAAGCACAGTTAAGTGTTCTGGGATTCCCAGTTTTCTCATTGCTAGCAGTGATTTGTCATGAGCCACCCATAGTCAATAAAAGCAAAAATAGTCATTCTTCTGATATTCTTTATTTTCAGCAAGGATACATCTGACATCTCCGTGTTTTTTCCCCAGTCAGTAGGTTTTCTTTTCATCCTGTTGGTAAAAGTTTGACTCTCACAGGGATTTAAACTTTAGAAGGTCTTATTCATAAATTTTACCATCTCCAGATTGTGCCCTGTTCATGAATAAGAAGACTCAATATTGTGAAAATCCTGCCAAAAGCAATCTACATGTTCAAGGCAATCCCAATACAGATACCAAATTAATTTTTCAAGGAGATTGAAAGAAATATTGTCAAGTTTATTTGGAGGAGAAAGAGTCCTTGAATAAGAAAAACACTAAGAAACAAAAATGAAGTGGGAAGCATAGCATTCCCGGACCTCAAAATCTATTACACAGCAATAGTAACCAAAACTGCATAGTACTGATACAATGACAGGCACACAGACCAGTGGAACAGAGTTGAGAACCCAGAAATAGATTTACCTATTTTAGGCCAACTGATATTTGATAAAGAAATCAAATCTATCAAAAGGGCGATGACAACCTCTTCAACAAGTAGTGCTGGCAAAACTAGACTGCTACCTGCAGAAAGCTGCAACAGGATCCACATTTCACACCATACACAAAAATCAACTCAAGGTGAATCAGAGACCTGGGAGTAAAGTCCAAACTGATAGTTTTTAATAAACAAACTGGGATCAAACTTAGAAGCACTCATTCAAAGTATAAAGAGACTGCCAAATACAGCCAGAAATGTATAATCTGAAGAGGATAAAATTGAGGAATAGGACTTTCTAAAGATGAAATCCATGTGTGCATCAAAACGTTTTTCCAACAGGGTGAAAAGAAAATCTACAGTCTGAGAACAAACATTTGGTAATACCATCTCTGACAAGAGTCTCATAAGGAACGTCTACAGAAAACTCCTGGGCCTCCACAGGAAAAAGACTGATAACAATTACAAAATGGGCAAAAGACATGGAAACAGTTATCACAGAGGAAGATATTTGAAAGGCAAACAAACACATGACAAGATGCTTAAAATCACTGATGCAAATCAAAAGCACAATGAGGTACCATCTCATTCTGGTAACAGTGGCAGATTTTAATAGAGCAGCAAGTAATAGATGTTGGAGAGGATGTGGTGAGATAGGAACTCTTCTACATTGTTGGTGGGATTATAAAATGGTACAACCGCTCTGGAAGGCAGTTAAGCATTTCCTCAAAAAGCTGAATATAAAATTCCATATGACCCAGCTATTCTATCCACTACTTGGAATATACCCTGGGGTAATGAGAACTGAGGCACAGAGATTTGTACACCAATGTTCTTAGCAGCATTTATTCACCAACACAAGAACATGGAAATAACCCAGGTGTCCAAACACAAAGGAATGGATTGAGAAATCATGGTACATTCATACAATGGAATACTACGCAGCATACAGGAGCAATGATTTTGTAAATTATTACCTAACTTGGGAGGGACTGTAGAGCATTTTGCTGAGTGAACTAACTCAGTCCCACAAGGACAAATATTGTATAAAACCATTATTGTAGAATGAGTATGAGGATCCATGCAGGGGGGAGGGGATTGAGTGTGGAAGCAGAGGGTGAGGTTGTGCAGGAGGAGGGGGAATTAAGCATAGGGTTGTACAATTTGATGGGTGGGCAGGTGAGGAAAATTGGAATAATCTGTTTTGGAAAAGAATGTATTTGAATTTTGTAACTAAACTAGTATTATAATGAAAAAATACAAAGTGTCACAACAAAACATTATGTATATGAATGATTATATACAGACCAATAAAAAATAACAAGAAAAATCTTTCTTTTTATTTCTAAAACAGAAAGTTGTGCAAGGAATTGAATTAGATAAAATCCGAGGACTTGGATTTGATGCCACCTGTTCTCTCGTTGTTTTGGATAAGCAGTTTCGTCCTTTACCGGTAAACCATGAAGGTAAGCCTATTCTTTACTCTTTTTCTTGGTAATGGGAAAGCCTTTCAATGTGAACTTGGCTGTTCACTCAAAAGGATCCAGTAGGACATGTGATTAGTTGTATGTTTTTTACCATCTAAAGGGACGTTTAGAAGTGACATGATGCTAAATGAGGGGAATACTAGTTCCAAAACTTGTCTAATTTCAATGAGGACAACAGCCAGGATCAACCCAAAGCTGAATCCTATGAGCTAGAGGTCAAGCATTCCTCCACATTCCAATCTTTCTTCTAATCTTCACACTAGTTTTTCCTCTTATGGCATTCTTCTCTTCAGGGTTCGATCATCCATTTCAATGGAGACATAGAACTCACACATCATACTTAGTAGTTAAATGGTTTATTAAACAAGTATAACTCAGGACCAAGATTAGGAAGCATGTAGCCAAAGTCTCCTTTTCAGTGCAAGAAGGCTTTCTCAGTATTTCTTGGTTACACAGTTCTCTCCTTCATCTTGTCTTACATTTTTGTTGTTGCTGTTAGGTGCTGTCTAGTTGGGTATGACCCAAATTGACCCTATGAACAACAGATCTGTAACCTGTCCTCCTATCCTGTGTTATCTTCAGACTTTCTGATACACTAGAGCCCATTGCAGCTCCATCTGTTTGAAGGTTTTCCTGTCCCTCACCAACTCTCTGCCTTTCCAAGCATCATATCCTGCTCCAAGGAATAGCCCCTCTGAGCAACATGCCCAAAATATGTGAGACAAAACTTTAACTTTTGCTTTCAAAGAGCACTCTGGCTGCACTTTGTCCAGGACATATTTGTTCTTTTGGCAGTCCATGGGATGTTCAGTACTCTTTTCTATCATCACAGCTTGAAGACATCAGTTCTTCTGTCATCCTTATTTGTTGTCTAGCTCTCAGATGCATAGTAAATTATTAGACAGACCATGGCCTGAATCAGATTCACTGTAGTCCTCAAACTGATAGCATTACTCCTAAATAGTTTGTTGAGGTACTTAACTGTAGATTTCTCAGTACAATACATCTCCTGATTTTCTGACTGTTGGTACCAAGGGTGTTAATTGTGGTTCCAAGAAAGATGAAGCTGTTGACAGATTCAGTCTTCTTCATGTATCATGATGTTGCCTATCAGTCCAGTGGTAAGAATCTTTGTTTTCTTGACATTGAGATGCAATCCATATTTGATTGACCTTCTGCCACAAATACCCCCACTTTCAGTAAGCAAGATTGTGTCTTCTGCAAAATGCAGGTTGATGAGTCTCCCTCTAATCTTGATGCCATATTCTTTTTCATAGAGTCCAGCTTTTCGAATAATTTGCTTCACATACAGATTAAATAGGTATGGAGAGAGACACAATTCTGACATATTATCATAATTTTAAACCATGTATTGTTCCCTTAACGCTGTTTGCACAGCATCCTATGCCTGGTCTAGGCATAGGTCTTGCATAAGCACAATTAAGTGCTCTGGGATTCCCATTCTTCTCAATGTTAGCCATAACTTATGATCCACACAGTTAAATGCCTTTGCATGCTTTTCATATATCACCAGCAATTTTGTCACAAATCTCTTCTGGGTCTTTCATTTTTGGCGCCATTATTTGATCTAGGTTTGTCATTATTTTCAGTGTTAGAGTGTCGATCTGTGATTATAGCTCCTTAGGGTCCCTTTGCCCCTTCTCTATGTTTCTTCTATTTCTCCTTCTTGCTTCTATTTTTATGTGAAAAATCTCTGTGGTTTTAACGGCATACATACACAAACAAATTTTTAAAACATGACCACAAACTGACCAGTTCCTTCTCAGTAGGTCACAGACACTTGGTATGCATAATTGTTATTAGGTAGCCTTGAATTGACTCCAGCTCCTATTAGCCATCTAAACAGCAACAATCAAAACCTTGTCCTATCCTGCACCTTTCTCGCAGTCTTCGCCATGCGCACATGCCTTGTTGTGGTCATCTTGACAAGCCATCTTTTTAAGGGTTGTCCTCTCTTTTGCAGACACTATGTCTTTCTCAGTATGGTGTCCTTCTTGACTGGCCCCTTCTGACAACATCCAAAGTATGTGAAATGCAATTTCACAATTCTCTCATGTAATGATCACTTTGTTTGTTTGCACTTTCCTCCAAGACAGATTTGTTTGTTCTTTTGGCAATTAATGGTTTGCATAGTAGGGCTCAGATAACTTCATTTGCATAGTCTGTTGACCAGTCCATACAAAGTGCATGCCAATCACTGAGGAGACTGCAGCTCAGGACCAGAGAAAAAGAATTAAATCATAGCTTATTTGCAACTTACCCAGGGAATATTATTTAACTTCAGCCAAATAAACCCTCTGAGACAGAAAAGTTAATAATCACGAATTGGGTGGGGGGGATATCACTCTCTCTCTCTCTTTTTTTTAAGAACCAAGGCAAAAGACAAAAAAAGGAAACTCATTTCATCACAATTGTGGAGGTCAGAAATTATGTTACAGTGGTTAAAAACTCAGTGAACATGTAGTTAGAGTAGGATGGAGTGGGAGGTGAGGTGAGGAAGAGTCTGACTCCATAAATTGCCAAGAGCTACAGTAGAGGATCCAATTAACGAAGGACATGGAATCCTTAGTTTGGCACAAGTAGTTTTTGTTTTTAATTGAGATTTTAATGAAAGTTTATAGAGAACTTGGATTTCTATTCATTCATTGTTGCACTTTTCCTCCCTGAACTTACGCCCCTCCCCAGTTCACTTTTCTCTTAGGAAGAAAAAAAATTCATTCATTGTTATACAGTCAGCCCCCCCTCAGTCCACTGTACTATGCAGCTCTTATTCTGGTCTCTTGTCATGCCAATAATACCTAATCATATGCAGAGTAAGTAGCTTTGAATTAAGTAAGTAGAGAATGTCAGTGCATGTGTTTGTTTTGTGCATTATGCTTCTGCCCCACATACATTTGTGTGGGTTAGCCAAGGTCATTGACAGGAAACTGAATAAGGCAGACAGGACCATAAATTGGTACATAATTTGGAAGCAGATGACCTCTCTCTTTTCAATAGCTAGACCAAACGCCATTCGCATTTTATGATGTATTAACAGACACTTGTGACTGTAATATGTTGTTGTTGTATGCCATCGTCTCTTGCGACATATAGAGACCCAATGCACAATAACTCTGAACTCTGTCCTGTCTTGAGCATTCTCACTGTTTCTGACATCTTTACTTCCTTTACACCAGTTACTGTGTCGATTCATCTCATCCAGGAGCTTTCTCTCCTACACTATCCCTTCACCCTTCCTAGCATGATGTCCTTAGTAGGTCAGAAAGAACTAAATCCTTTCCTCCAAGGACTTAGCATCTCCAGGAAAGATGTATTTATTCTCTTGTCAGTCCCTGGTATGTTCAGTACTTTTCTTCAGCACCACAACTCATCCTTAGTTACTGTCTAGCTCTCTGAAGCATACCAAGCAATTGCAAAGACTATGGCCTAGATCAGGTACACCTTAGTCTCTAGACTGACATCGTTGCTTTTCAGTACTCTAGAGAGGTCTCTGACAACAGATTTTCCCAATGCAGTTCATATTTTGATTTTCTAACTGCAAGTGCCAAGAGTGTTGATTGTGGAGCCAAGCAAGCTGAAATTGTTAATGATGTCAATTTATTCTCCCTCTATCATGGTGCTACCAATTGACCTTGTGGTGAGAATCTTTCTTTGTCTTCTTGATGTTGACTTTCAATCCATATTGAAGACTACAGTTCTTGACTTTCTTCAGTTTCAATGAGCAAGTTTGTGTCATCTGAAAAATGCAGGCTATTGGTGAGTCTTCCTGTAATTTTGATGCCACATTCCTCCTCATGAAGTCCAGCCTCCTGAATGGTCTGTTCTGCATGTAGATTGCAAAAGTATGGATACAGGACACATCCCTAACACATAGTGTTTTCTTCTCTGTGATTTTAGACCCAGGTATAAGGTATTGGGTTTTTTTGTCTGTTTGTGTTTTTCTGTGTGTTAGTTTTTTGTTTTGTCTTATTTTGTTTGGATGTGTTTGTGTGTGTGTGTGTGTGTGTGTGTGTGTGTGAGTGTGAGTACAACCAAGTATTCTGGGATTTTCATTCTTCTCAATGTTAGCTACACTCTTTTGTGATCCACACAGACAAATGCCTTTGCATGGTCAGTGAAACGCAGACATTCTTCTGGTACTTCTGCTTTCAGCCAAGATCCAGCTGACATTGGCTATGATGTCCCTAGTGCCACAGCCTCTTCTAAACTCAGGTTCTATTTCTGGTAGTTCTCTGTTGATGTACTGATAATCTTCAGCAGCATTTTGTTTGCATGTGGTATTAATGATATTGTTTGGTAATTTTCATACAGTAAGACCGTCTTTTATTTTGAAAAGGGAATAATCTCTTCCAATCATTAGGTCAGCTAGTTGTTGTCCATATTTCTTGGCATAACCTGGTGTGCACATCCAGGGCAGCATCTGTTTGATAAAATATGTCAGTTGGTATTCCGTCAGTTCCTCGGGCCTTATTTTTTTCTAGTATCTTCATAACAGCTTGAACTTACTCCTTCATCACCATTACCTCCTGATCATATGTTGTTTCATGACATTCTTCTTTGTCAGTCAAAATTGTTTGGTATACTAACTCTGTCTACTCCTTGTATCTTATTTTGATGCTTCCTGCGGTCATTCCATAACATCCTTAACTATTGCAGCTTGAGCCTTCAATTTGTTCTTTAGTTCTTTCAGCTTAAGAAATTCTTAGCAAGTTAATCCCTTTTGATTTTCTGAATCTAGCTCTTTGCATATTTCATATTTCATACTTTGGTTTGTCTTCCTGAGCTGTCCTTTGAAATCTTTGGTTTAGCTCCTTAATTTCCTGATATTGTCCTTTTGCTTTGCCTTCTCAGCATTCTAGTGCAATACTCAGAGTCTCTCATGCCATCCATTTCAGTCTTTTCTTCCTCTTTTGTCTTCGTAATAATTTTTTGCATTATTAAGGAATGAGGTTCTTGAT